CTCTTGCTACGCGCACAACCGCTTCTACTCCCACGCGTACGTTCCCCGCAATGTGCTGATGAGGCAATCACAATCAGCCACAATCAAGTCTCTCCCTCACGAAAAACGCAGCACAACAGTCCGAGGGCATCCTTCAAAAGGCGGTGCCCTTCCGAACGAAATGGCTCGACGGACAACGAAGCAATGCGATCGTGGTTGACGGGAACAGCTGTAGCCAAGGAACTGCCCGAGCTCCAGAAACGGATTTCCTAGCAACCATCATCGCTTCGACTCGCGGCGGTTCGTAGGMTTTTTCGGATCATGCGACTCGGAGCATCTGCACCTGTGCCGCTGTTCTCCCTTATTTCATYGTTGTTGACTAGAAACCCAAGCGCCTGTTTCTGGATCTCTTCTCTCGAATGTTCGGGAGCGAGTGATCCCGATCGAWATGGTGACCGAAAGAATCGAAATGGTGACAAAAGCGTTACGGAGCACAGCGAAGACGTGGGCAAACTGGTCATAGCAACAAGCAAAGAGAACGATGGCGACGACAACGCGGGAGGCAATAATTTCTTTGGGGAGCTGTCGACACTGGAAGATGTTTGGCGTGTCCTAAAACTGATGGTTCCTAACCGAGGTACCGATGGCTACATCCAACCAAGCGCAAACGTTATTGCRGATTTCGAATACGTTGTTTTGGATATGATGACGATCGGCCATCGGAATAAAAATTATCGAGGAWATTGGAAAGAAGAGAAAGGAAGTACGAAGATCAATAACTATTTTAACAGCGACGGAGAAAGTGGCAACWCGTTTGGTAATGGTAGTGATCTTTTGGGATCTCATTTCCACCCGCATTCACCACCGCGTTCCTGTGACGAGATCGACCTTCGTAGTTTGAAAGATAAGTATTTAATCGGCACGTTCGTCGATGGAGACAACGGGAGAAAGTACTGCGTATTGGCTACTACATCGATTGCATATCCRTGGGGTACCGTTATCATCGATCTAGATCCGTCGTCAGATACCAAGAATCTTTCCTTTGACTGCCCGCACCCCAAATTCGATGCAGAAACAGGGGAGCAGGGCATACGGCTTCTCAAGGGTACGAACGCAAGGTCTTGGGTCGTTGCGGGAAGCCACCGGATGGCAAACAATCGAAGCCTCGGRACCTGCCAACCACAATATTCCCATTTTCCTTCCGACGCTGCACATTCCGTCGACAGCTGTTTCCTCGCGGCCGTAGCCGCTATAAAATTCTACTACGAGTCCATAGTTCACGAAGACTACACTTCGGTACAATTACACGGAATGAGCAAAACTACCTGTGGATCCATCGATACTTTTTTCAGCCACGGTAGCTGCTCGGAAAGCATCCCCTTTAAGGCYGTGGCCGCAACTGCAACTACACGTTTGAATGGCAACATTGGCGACGWAYACATGGAAAAAATCGAAATACTTAGAAACATTGCAACGTCGCATCCGTTGGACCAAGGCCATCACGTTTTTGCGAGCAAGAGTAGCAGAACTGGTGGATGCGAGCTATGCGGGACCACCAACATTCAGGGCAGGTTCATCAATGGTGTGACGAGAACCGATCTTTGCGGCACCGCTGCGTCCTCCTATAATGGCAGGTTTATCCACCTCGAGCAAAAGCGAGACTACCGACGGGAATCCCGAGCCGAGTTTTGGAACGATGTATTCAACACGGCCTATCCGCTTTTTTCGACGCCCCCTGCGGCGACAACAGCTGCTGATGGCAACGATTSCACCGAATCCGAAAACTKTAATCCTCCTCCTCAWGATGAAAGGAACGCGGAGTTGGCAGATTTYATTCTATTCAGTTTAGTACTGCATTTTCTTCTTTGAAACGCTCGGGCCGATTTGTTTCGGGGGTATTCAAAAACCGTATTCGGTACTTTAYAGTAGCAAAAAGTATCGTATGTAAATATAGCGCAAACCAGAAGTAGACAAYCCAACGTAGTAACAATTCCGTAAAACATCCAACAGCATAATCCCATTCTGATTAGCAAGACCATCGGTACCGCCGAATCCCAGCATGGTTGTGTTGAACAGGATTTGAAAGAAACCGAATAAGACTAGAGTTTGAATGTTTCGATTCAGTAGTGTAGAGAAATAATCCCTATCCGAAYTGTTTCGATTAAGCTGTGTTGTTGCGTCATCTGTCCCTCCTATCGTTTTCGACAAGTTCGCCACAGATACTGAGGAAATTGCCCATAGGATCCCAAAGGCCGAAATTCTTTKTATCAAGTCGTCGAGGGTAGAAGGTATGGCCGGTATCGGTTGGAACCAGCCTCCGTTCCGGAYGAATTCCGGGCTGTTGAGAATATTCAAAAGTCCGATCAACTGGGATGCGAGAATCAATGCTAGAAAGTCCGTAATCCACAGTCCTGGATCCATTAATACGCTGTTGTCGTTCCCATCATCACCGTTGTCACCATCGTCACCATCTGTATGTTTTGACTGCAACTCCGACCGGAGAGTCTGGGTTTTCGTCGCCAAAGTTTTGGGCGACACTGCATTGCGTTCACTGTATAAAATCGAACCAGCCAAATCGGTGGATTTCCGACGATGCTTATGATTGAGACCGAGAGATGCTGCCAACTCCGGCTTCGTACAAGCCGCCAGGAAAACCATTGTTGCTAGGAATCTACGGAAAGACATTTTTACAAGAGTGGAACAGGATAGCTTCAATGCTTCTTTGTTTTCCTTGTTGTGTTGTATTGCTGGTGGTAATATTCAACACCTTYGATCACCGATGCGGGAGTCAGTTGTCATTTGTCGTCGTTGTCCATGTKGCGAGAGGCAAACAGGAGAGAAAGGTACGTACTTTACTCGTAGTTTGTACGGTACCAGGTGTGAGGCTCAAGGTACTCAACGAATCTAGGAGCAACAATTCAGTTATGAAAAGATATGGTGATTTGACTCTATCGACTAAAAACAAGATTTAATTTTTATTTAATTTTTTCAAAACTTGGATCCGGAATTCTGTTACCGACGAGTACGTACTAGTAGTACGTACGTACACCCCTGTCCTGGTACTGATACTTGATACGTACTTGAGTAGATTGCGTAGAAAAAATACTTGTACCCGTATCTTTTTGCTGAAATCTTTTTGCTGAAACTTTTTGATGTTGACACAGAGGAGTGGGCCGTGCTGATCACGGGAACTTCAGAACGCTTTCTTAATTCACCCTTATCGGTCACTTCCAATAACCCAATTTTGTCATYCTACAATGTCTTTATTGAAGTATAACATTTTGATTGCGAAAGTGTGCCATACACGCGATCCTGGTTCTTACTGGGACTGTTTCTTRAGTTTGGGAGAACGACCTATGTTCAGAAGAACGAACTCGTGCCATCAATGTTTTCGTGTCAGCTATGTGTCTAGAGTRGTTTGTGTATTACAATATCAATCTACTCTCGAGCGCTTCTCAAATCCTTTTTGAAGTGTTCTCTACGAATRCGCCGTCGATGTTTGATGGTTCTTGTTATTCCTCCATAAAACGTATATATCGAGACCAATGATGAAATATCTACGAACTACTCTGTTACTACTGACCTTCATCGGTCCCGCTGTTGCTCAAGTTGGCGGACCCCAGACCCCAAACGGAGAATACACACTTCTTACCGGTGGAGTATGTCGCGGACCAGGCGGAGTAAGCGATAAAGTCAACTCAATGAGCGCAATCGAACATACCCAGGCGATGTGCGAGGAAGCCTGCGATGCTCGAAAGGAAAAAGACGACAACGGGGCCCATTGCTTGGGGTATTCGTATTGTGCCAGTTGCAATGGTGGGGAGTGTATCCTTTACGGACCCGGACTCGAYGGTACGTGTTCCGATCCATCTGCTGACAATCAATATGCCTGTGAGGCTCTTGGGAGGTGCGACTCCCCCGATACCGCAACCAAASAGACAGAATGTGGAGTTTGCGATGGCAAACCATCCGCGCTAGAGGAATCTGCTTGCGATTCGGTAAGTGGAACATGGAAGAAGGGAATCTGGACCAGCGCTGGTGCGACATGGTCTGGTGCCGAAGACCCATTTAYCGGTCAAAGCCATCCCTCAAAGATTATTGCGGGAACATCGGACGAGAAAGCCTCCGATTATTCTTGTCACGATATCATTGTTGACGATCATCTCGCACAATGCAGTGGGGATGCAGCAGAATGTAGTGCCGCATTCGATGRCATCCAAGAAGACAGTGATCGCATYGCCGAAAACTGTCCGAATGGTTGCGTTTTTACGGCAAAGGTRAAGGGACCGAAGAATCCACCCGTGGCTCATGCCCCTGACATCAAGTTACCAGGCTGGGATCCTGCACAATCCGGTGCCTGCCGGGGTGGCGCAGACTTCTCTGGAAAAGTGAACGGAAAGTACTCCAATACTGCAGGTGCAGATGGAGGGCCTCCGACTCAATTGGAATGTGCAGAGGGATGTTTGGCCGAAGAAAACTGTGTTGGATACGCGCATTCTACTGCTTGGTGCGTCATTTATGGGCCCGATGTTCACTTGGGCATCGGAACAGAAGAGGGTGGCATGTGGACCCCAGACAACCACGAGGAAATCACAATCACAGGTACAAAGGTCAACATTGCCTATCTTTGCGTTACTGGACCCCCCCGAGATGTCGGAGGTGAGAAACCTTCTTCTGTTCAAGACGATAGCAGTAACTCTCCTCCAAGCCCTCAGGATAACGCCAGTGATACTACTCTTCMGACAGATGGTGGTGCGGGTCSTGCATTCCCCTTTTTGACCACGGTTGTATATGTGTTTGTGAGTACATGCATTCAAATGATGTGAAAACAAGATTCTTAAATTTATTTAAAACTTTAGATGTTTTATCTTCAAGTATCTACAAGTAGTGGGAGTATCAACTATGACATAATTTTATTTTGATGTATGTGCTTCATTGGTTCGAATCGAGTCATATTCTAAACCTGCTGGTGGTGATAATCGGTGCAGGGTACGGGTTTTCTTTTCCGTTTTGTAGATCCAATGTTCTSAACCATCCTACCAAAAGGGGAAAAGCACCCTGCGCGACCTCGATTTACGTTATATGGATTTCTTGCCGGAGCTCTGGTGTTTCGATTTCACTATCAAAATTCAAATCCGTAGGCTGGTGRWYGGTACYACTTTGTCTTAATTCGCTTGCTTGTCTTCTTGTGCGTCCAGCCGAAAAACCAACAACGAAACAAGCCACTGAAAGTACTGTCCATGATAATGTCAAACCAAAGATTGCTTTTTTTGACAATCGAATACCATCCTCCAGCATGGAATGGTCTCTCAGGGAACCACGGTTTGTAGGACCATTAAATGTTTGGCACTGGCTTCCCGCAAACTCATCAGGGCAATGGCAAACCTCATGTGTATCTCCAGTTTTGCACTGGCCACCGTTTAGACAACGCCATCCTCGCTTGTCACCATCGGAACATTCCAGGAAGGGAGTCTCACATCGTATCCCTTGGTAGCCACCACTTTGAGTGGATGGACAATCGCAGTAGAATTCTTTTGTAACGTTATGGAAATCACAGGTTCCTTTATTGAAACAAGTCAGAGGGCAGTTGCTGACATTCATAGTGATTGGTTTTGGAGTTGAAGCTTCCATAATCCAAGGGATACTGCTATTATTCGAAGAGCACCCCGTAGTACACGTGTCTGCAGCTCAGAACTCAGAATCTTGCTGATGTCCGTTGTTCCGTTCTAGGGATCTAGGAACGGAGTACATCATTTGCAACTTGTTTTCGCTGCTAAAGGACGTAATCTCTCAGATTCCGTTCTATCATCTCTTCGCCTTCACCTCGTGACTTCAGAATAAAAGATGATATTGWATGGTACCGTACCTGGTACCGTTARATTGGTGTGTTATGGCAATTATGGCAATAGAGCAATCAGATGCTTTGGGCACGGCGCATGCACGCGCTTGTCACGAACATGACCTTCGTACTGCAGGTCCTATTAGTTTATTGCTTCTGCTACTGTATTGCTATTCTTTTTATTTCTAAGATCAACTCATTTTTTTGATCATGGCACGAGTAGASGTACCTGCGTACGCTACCAGTGCGAACAGAAAGTAAATAACCACTCCAGTACCGGTATCCATATGGGTGATTCCCGTTACAGTATTCTAAATACTGTATTGTATCCAACATGTCTTCTTATTTCTTRAAAGTGTCTTCGTGATCACGGAACATACATAGTACATTTGTACCATACAGTAGTACGAAGTATGTCACATGCAACGACTGCTTGACAGTCAGCTAATACTGTACCTACGGTACGTAGAAGTAATTACTAGATACTTCTACTATTACTACGCTACTGTAGTACTGTACTTCTACTAAGGACAGATTCAGTTCTACAACGCTCTAGCCAGTACTGTACAGTACCATCGAATTACATTAMCTATCTGACACAAGTAGAATGTACATAATAGTACTCGTACTCGTTCGTACGGTACAACCCTGCGCAGCTCAGGGGTCATAGAACAATTATGATGACCCCTGGACTTCTTAAAAAAACTTGATAACTTTGATGGAAGTATAACGGGACTGGGGGAMTGGTTTCACTGGCTTCGTGGTACTAGTACAAGTACTGTAGTACGAAGTACGAAGTACTACTGTACTAAAAGAACGAATAGTACGTACTCGTAGTGTTACAGTAAGGAAAATCTTCGTTACGGTACTTGGGTACCTGGTACTTTRAAATGTACTGTAATACAGTACTTTATTAGTAAAATACAGTACGGTGTATACGAACTTGTAATTTAAAACTCTGTTTCCAGTTTTCGATTGGGATAGTATTTCGCACTACTGTATTTGAAATTTGAACTTTACGCAAGTTCTTTTTTCACTTGTGATTAGAGGACCCACCTGTATAACTGCTCGTAACTGCGGCCAGGGTTCGGCTAGGCACTCTTTTGAAAACAAGATAGCAACACAGTCCATTTTCAATTGGTTTAAGGATATGAATGACTCTACAARCCAACGGCGTCCCAACAAGGACGCAGATATCGAGAGTGTTATGATTCCGGAAACCGATCGCTTACTGACCACTAACCCGACGAAGGACAATGCTGTCCCGAGCGGCGGTACCAACACCATATCCGCCATGGGGTTGAAGGTTCTTATTTTGCTTGCTGTCCAGAATTCATCGAAGAACTTACTGATGCGTTACGTCATGAAAGAAAAGCCGCAGTTTCTAACTTCCGCTGCCGTCATTGGAAGCGAGTGCACGAAACTCTCGCTCAGTTTGTTTTACATTCTATGTGTGGAAAAGAAACCATTTGGAAGCATCGTGAAATATTTCAAAGACGATTGGAAAAACACTCTTTTGGTATCCGTTCCTGCTAGTGCCTACAACCTTCAAATGACTCTCGAATATATTGCTTTGGCAAACCTAGATGCTGCCATGTTCAGCGTGTTGGTTCAGACGAAACTTCTATTTACCGCTTCGTTTTCCGCCATTGTCATCGGAAAGAAACTAAAATATATTCAGGTCATCAGTTTGATTCTGCTTACGGTGGGTGTGATGCTTTGCAACATGAAAGTTGGGGAGGATCAAGGCATTTCCAATTCGAAGGGAATCTGTGCAACACTCGGCATAGCCGTGAGCAGTGGGTTTGCTAGCGTTTACACCGAAAAGGTGATCAAGTCGCAACGCGTTCTTTCCCCGGTCCAGGGCCAATATTCGCTTGCGTACACACAGGTTCAACTCGCCAGCATGAGTCTATTAACGATTGGAATCTATGCATGCATAATGGATTTCAAAACCATTGTCGAATATGGACTCTTTCACAACTTCAATGGGGGCGCCTTTCTTACCGTCTTTAATTCGGCTATCGGTGGTTTGATTGTCGCTGGTGTGCTGAAATACGCGGACTCCGTATTGAAGGGTTACGCAACAGCAATTTCGGTCATTGGGACCGGATTGATGAGCATGGTGYTGTTTGGTACAAAACTAAGCGTTGTGTATTTCATGGGGATTGTCAACGTTGTTATAGCAGTACTGCTTTACAACGGAAAGAATCTCGACCAGCTTTGTTGTTCCAACAAMAAATGAAGCAAACGATTTGAATCTCTTAGAACCCATAAAATAGTTCTGTGACGATATCATCCAAGTRCTGGGTGTTTACGACACCAGACACCTACCACCAATTTCCAAGATAATATACTTCCAGTACTAGTTTGATGTAAAGAAAAATTAYGAATCCGAAGAATTGAATGAACATTTTGCCCCTTGCGCGATTATGTGCGGTGCTTTCTCGGGGTCTCGTATTCTTTACTGTATCAAATGTTGCTTTCATACCACTTCTTGCCTCTGGGAACGAATGTTTCCAATTGATGGCAAACAYTCGATTGTGGTTTGCGTGAGCAGTAGCACTCCTGAATCACAGTGTTCCAGCTAAACCAGATTCTGTGCCAAACGTGGGCGACAGAAAGAAACTGGCTCATCAGCAACATCTCAGGCGTTGGATCGTATCTTSTACTTCTAGTCGATAATTTCCCCATCTCCTTTACGATCGTTACTTTGCCTGTTCCTCCCAATGTAAACTGAGGCATCTCTTTTTTATTTCGACATGAGACCTAATCGCTATGGATCGCACGTCGTGAAGCATGMTTGTGCCGCTCGGCTAATTTTTCCTACCACGACTTGAAGGTCACAACCCCTGGCATTTGCAGCAGCTTGATTTGCTTGTACCCGTGSCGGATCTTGTGTTCAATGGTCCTGAAATCGTTGCGACGAAGCCTGGACGCCTGCTTGCGAAACTCGTCCCGAGCGTGGGCCGTGCTGCTGCTGTCATTCGCAAACAAAAGATCCGTAAAAGAGGCTGGCCTACGGCTGGACTTGCCTGCCACCATTCGATCTTTCTTGGTGGCTTCTCGCAGCAATGTTCTGTACAGAGCCAGGACTTCCTTTTGAATGCCCGATTTTGCAACCACCATGATTTGTCTTGCCTGGGTTGATTTCTTGTCGCGTTTAATTTTGTATTGCTGCTGGAAATTGCTGTGATGGTGACAATTCTATTGCAACCCAACAAAGATAAGCCCGCACTTGTTGTCGGCAAGTCCGACGCTGGGATCTATGTTTCGCGTATCGTTYTTGGAGATCCRRTTTTCGAGGCAAGGCAGAACAGGCGTGCTGAGATTATGCTTTTGCAATTATATCGACAAGAATAATTTTGGAGACGATTCGACCGAGCAGCATCGAAATCCGAATACGGCACGAGCACGATCAAGGCAGATTGTGATGTGTACGATTCAGTAATGTATGGAAAGACAATTGAAGAAGTTCACTTCTCATATATAACCAATCAGAAGTACTTCTAATACGGTACGTGCATACTACTGCCGTATTGTGACAGATGGAAAAACGAGAAACATGGCATGATTCTGGTTCCAATAATCATTTTACGACTTCCGTCACAACTGTGAGTTTAGAGGAGCGAAGATCTACGAACGACGACGTTCTTTACTGGAACTAAAATACAGTACTACGTTGCCTTCCACAAGTCCTTTTTGAATTTTGAACTAACGTACGGTAAATACGAACAAGTTCGTCCCAGTCGTACCGGTACCGCGGAGGTACTCGTACACAGAGCAGAAATAGTAGTTTTTACAGCTCGTAGTAAAGTACTGTTTTAGGGAACTGACCCCTGATTAGAGGTACCTACGAGTACGAGTACGAGTACGAGTACCGTACGGTACGTACGCTACAGTTCTTCGGCGGATTTTCCAGAAGATTGGTTTCGTTGAATGATTCGACTAAACCGACTCATCTTGTCTTCAAAAAGTACTTACGGTACCGGTAGTACGGTACTTGTACTGTACTTCCCATGAAACCAAATTTGGTTGATCACCATGACCCAACACCAACCACTACAATTGCGACTGTTAACATCAACAAACCACAGCTGACCACCATCTACTGGAGCAGCATCCTCATTCTTTGGAAAGAAAGAAAAAGGYGACTTTCGATTCARGGCCTCACAGATTAGTGGTAGATACTTCTAGAATACTTGAAAAAACGAGTGGGAAACGCTTGCGTACRGAGAGCAACACGACATAARACGTAGACAACAAACAATGGATCCATTGGCAGGCATCGGCAGTGGTGCCCTCCCCGCACCGGACGCTAGTGACGACAAAGACGTGTTTGACGTGACCACGCTCCGGTACAACCTGCAGCACGTGGATACGGTTCGATCGGTAATGAACATAGCCTCAGGCTGTGTTGCGGGAATCTGTGGTTTAACCGGATGGCAGGGACTGGGTGAGCAATACACATGAATCGCTGTTGAATAGCACGGTACGGCAACGCATGGAAATCGGATCCATGTCATATTCAACATTGACAATAAAACTGACAACTCCCTTTTTCGCACCGCATGTTGTTCTAATCAACTCGCGAAACAAACAAACCACGATGATKTTGACCTGGTCTGTAACTCCTATGATGGCAAAAATCGAACTAAATGAAACTGTATGATACCCGCACCAACATTATGGCATAACTACAGCTTTATTTTTGCTGCTCCATCTCGCGGTCCTAACGATTATTTGGGCCACAAAGATGAATTTTCAGCTACGGTCTTATACACGGCAATCGGCATGGTCSTATGCGACGGCAAACGTACAACAAAGTGGCCTGTCGTTCACGCTGTTYTGGACTCTGTTTTATGGGTTGGTCTACCTATACTAGCACGGAAAGAAACGATTTGGTTCAATGGTTCATCCCACAGAATACATGGTAGTCAGTATCTTCAACACAATGGGAAATAGAGGAGGTCCTCAGCTTCAACCACATCGTAGGCAGTGCCCCAGGAGCAATTCATGGACTGTACCTTGTTTTGTTCATGGGGGAAAATGAATTGACACTGCACCGGCTACTTAGGGTTGATAATGCGCCGTAACAAAACTAAAATTGACCGTAACAACCAATACGACTCATAGCGATAAATCAATCCATTTTTATATTATCAAACGGCGAGAAAGTCAACCGGAATACATTTCGGTCCTTTCCGGTTTAGTGTAGTAACTAAAATACATTTCTCTTTTTTATTCCTAGTCGATGTCTATGTTGAATTAAAAAACATTTTTGTCGCAGATTAGTATTATATCTCTTAGGTGTCCACAAACGAAATTCTACTTCGTCAATGACAGTCTGTGCAAATGAGAACAATTTGTTGTAGTTTGCAGCAACATAAAATGTCACACAGATTGTTGATCGATTCAATTGGATTCTTTGCCAGTGAGGTATTCGAGATGGTCATTGCATGTAATMTACCCTTATTCTATTGTTCTTTCGTCGTAGACTTCAAAGTCAAATCAAGTAAGATTTGTCATAATTGATCCCATTTTGACGATGCTTGTACTATATTTATTGCGCTGGCATATACTACCTCGCAGCTCCAAATGCCTCTGGCATGCGTTCTACTGTGTATTTATATCCACTAATGTACATGCAAGGGACACCGGGTATTTTGCGGATCCTCCCACGCAATTCCTTATCACACGTCGCGACGATGAAACATTTCCACTGCGACGCCATRTTCGTCAAACAGTCGTCTGCRTACCCCTTCTTGGCGCAATTGCAGGGAACCCGTTCGAAGCGAGGATCCTTTGCAAGGCGCAATGCGATTTTGTACTTGCCACCCAGTTTTTCGAGTTCTGCCATGACGCAATCCGTGATGCAGGGGATGCATTTGGCCAACAAACAGTCCATCATGGCTCGGAYCATGTCGAGCTTTTTACTAKGGCAAGAAAGAAATTTGTGAGTTTTCCTTACCGAATCATATCGCAAACTATTCCATAGCGCAAAACATTATAATAACACCACATTTGACGTTTTGTTAGGTATGTGTCAAACAGTCAGTGCTCACCGAATACTAAAGTTGATAAAATTGGTATCCACAAGAACATGGTACGGGGGTCCGAGTTGCTCGTTATACTGAAAAAACAACGACGTATTGGCTTGTTCGATGTGCCGGGGCTCTTTTTCCTTCTTTTCTTTTGCCAATTTCTTTGCCTTCGCSTCTTCCATATTCTTCCGGACGCGTGTGTCGTTCGGCGACATCATCCGTTTCGCAACGGCGAACTTTCTTGTCTGTTTTGCTTTTCCCATTGTGTTSTTTTCTCCTGATAACCGCGTTTACTTTGGTCCGTTTCCAGCAGTCTCGTAACGAAGCAGAAGCGCGAATAGATTGCCCAACGATGCGTTTTTCTTCTTATGGGAAACTCGAATACTATTTGAGTTCGACGATTCAGCAGTTATCAATCGCGAGGATGTAGACGGAGGATTTTTCAAGGTTCTTGAATTTTAGACTGAGACCGGTTTTAGAGTAATTTTCTCGATAGTGATGTATGGTACACGGAATGATGTCTTTAAGGCCTTATTTCTGCTGCGGAGTTCATTCTGTCAAACATATGTTCCTTCCGACCAAAAGGGAGTTACAGAGACGATTGACTTCGAACGAGGAGAGTGAGGAAAAAACGGTGGCAATCGTACTGTGATTGGTGACGATGCTCAGATTTTCATTCACTATTGAAACGCCGATATGGACAGACTTCTACTATTGAAGTACAGTACGGAAACACTATCGATTTCAATCTTCGCGGACAATGGTATATCTGCATATGTACCGTATGCAGGAATGTTTTCAGTGCATTTCCCCCCCATTTTTGGAATTTGGAATCTCATATGATTGCATTCATGGCGCCAACATGATTCAGACACAAAACCAGCTCTGGCTCCAAAACTGAATCCTCCACTCCTCTGAAACGTCAAAAACAGTCCTCTCTCCTATCCTCATTATTTGCCTCCTACTAGTACTATCCATTCCTCCTTCACAGTAAAAAACACCAAGCTACTACTACTACTACTACTACTACTACTACTACTACTACTACTACTACTACTACTACTACTACTACTAGTAGTAGTACTGCAACACTTCAACAATCATGACTCCTCCTGAGATGGTTTTAATTGTATTTTGGGCTGTTTCCCTTGAAGCAGAAGAGGAAGAGGAGAGGCATCATCAACTCTCTCTCTCTCTCTCTCTCTCTCAGGTGCCAACGAGACAGAATGATGCCAGCAAGGATTGCATTCATGGGGATGAATGAGTCCCCATTCATCCATTTGTTTGGGTCTGGAKATGACCAGGCTCTTCTAAAGTGCTGTGGTCTATACCATTTGGTCTTTAGGCATCTCCTTCCAGAGGAGATGCCCAAAAACTGGCTCAAAGAGTGAGTCACCACTCTTTGAGCCAGTTTTTGATAGATATACTACAGTGCTGGACACCAAGAATACTACTCTGCAGATCAGACCACGTCTCTTCACTAGTAAGAATGGCAAACCAAATGGCAATAAGAGAGAGATTACTGCCACCATCAGATGACTTGCTTTAGTCTTGATTTGGTTCAAAATTTGTGGATCAGCAGCAAGGGTCTTATCTATGATATTTGGTCTCACTTCATCACCCCTCTATAAATGGTTGAAGTATTCCCAATGAGCCATTCTTCTTTATTAGTTTCAAAATCACCCAAGTGCTATTAGTATTAGATCCCCCTGCAATGAAGAAGTGAAGGCATATGTGGCATGGATTGGAAGACAGTATGAGATGCTTGGAAGAGAGAAGGTCTGGGGTGTAGCTGACGGCCTCAAAGTTAAGATCCAACATTCAAATAATTGAGCCATTCAAAGCATGGCATTGATTGTCAATTTTTTTGCATATTGCTGTTTGTTGTTGATTGTTGATTGTTGATTGTTGATTGT